ACCGAGATGGAGACGACTAAACACCATGATGGAGACGACTAAACACCGAGATGGAGACGACTAATCACCAAGATGTAGACGACTAAACACCATGATGGAGACGACTAATCACCAAGATGGAGACGACTAAACACCATGATGGAGACGACTAAACACCGAGATGGAGACGACTAAACACCAAGATGTAGACGACTAAACACCATGATGGAGACGACTAAACACCGAGATGGAGACGACTAAACACCGAGATGGAGACGACTAAACACCGAGATGGAGACGACTAAACACCATGATGGAGACGACTAAACACCGAGATGGAGACGACTAATCACCGAGATGTAGACGACTAAACACCATGATGGAGACGACTAATCACCAAGATGGAGACGACTAAACACCGAGATGTAGACGACTAATCACCGAGATGGAGACGACTAAACACCGAGATGGAGACGACTAAACACCGAGATGGAGACGACTAAACACCGAGATGGAGACGACTAATCACCGAGATGGAGACGACTAAACACCGAGATGTAGACGACTAAACACCGAGATGGAGACGACTAATCACCGAGATGGAGACGACTAAACACCGAGATGGAGACGACTGAACACCGAGATGGAGACGACTAATCACCGAGATGGAGACGACTAATCACCGAGATGGAGACGACTAAACACCGAGATGGAGACGACTAAACACCGAGATGGAGACGACTAAACACCATGATGGAGACGACTAAACACCGAGATGGAGACGACTAATCACCGAGATGTAGAAGACTAAACACCATGATGGAGACGACTAATCACCAAGATGGAGACGACTAAACACCGAGATGTAGACGACTAATCACCGAGATGGAGACGACTAAACACCGAGATGGAGACGACTAAACACCGAGATGGAGACGACTAAGGACCGAGATGGAGACGACTAATCACCGAGATGGAGACGACTAAACACCGAGATGTAGACGACTAAACACCGAGATGGAGACGACTAATCACCGAGATGGAGACGACTAAACACCGAGATGGAGACGACTAAACACCGAGATGGAGACGACTAATCACCGAGATGGAGACGACTAATCACCGAGATGGAGACGACTAAACACCGAGATGGAGACGACTAATCACCGAGATGGAGACGACTAAACACCGAGCTGGAGACGACTAATCACCGAGATGGAGAAGACTAATCACCGAGATGGAGACGACTAAACACCGAGATGGAGACGACTAAACACCGAAATGGAGACGACTAATCACCGAGATGGAGACGACTAATCACCGAGATGGAGACGAAAATCACCGAGATGGAGACGACTAAACACCGAGATGGAGACGACTAAACACCGAGATGGAGACGACTAAACACCGAGATGGAGACGACTAAACACCGAGATGGAGACGACTAAACACCGAGATGGAGACGACTAATCACCGAGATGGAGACGACTAAACACCGAGATGGAGACGACTAAACACCGAGATGGAGACGACTAAACACCGAGATGGAGACGACTAAACACCGAGATGGAGACGACTAATCACCGAGATGGAGACGACTAATCACCGAGATGGAGACGCCTAAACACCGAGATGGAGACGACTAAACACCGAGATGTAGACAACTAAACACCAAGATGTAGACAACTAAACACCAAGATGTAGACGACTAAACACCGAAATGGAGACGACTAAACACCGAGATGGAGACGACTAAACACCGAGATGGAGACGACTAAACACCGAGATGGAGACGACTAAACACCGAGATGGAGACGACTAAACACCGAGATGGAGACGACTAATCACCGAGATGGAGACGACTAAACACCATGATGGAGACGACTAAACACCGAGATGGAGACGACTAAACACCGAGATGGAGACGACTAAACACCGAGATGGAGACGACTAATCACCGAGATGTAGACGACTAATCACCGAGATGTAGACGACTAAACACCAAGATGGAGACGACTAATCACCAAGATGGAGACGACTAAACACCATGATGGAGACGACTAAACACCGAGATGGAGACGACTAAACACCGAGATGGAGACGACTAAACACCGAGATGGAGACGACTAAACACCATGATGGAGACGACTAAACACCATGATGGAGACGACTAAACACCGAGATGTAGACGACTAAACACCGAGATGGAGACGACTAAACACCGAGATGGAGACGACTAATCACCGAGATGGAGACGACTAAACACCGAGATGTAGACGACTAAACACCGAGATGGAGACGACTAATCACCGAGATGGAGACGACTAAACACCGAGATGGAGACGACTAAACACCGAGATGGAGACGACTAAACACCGAGATGGAGATGACTAATCACCTAGATGGAGACGACTAATCACCGAGATGGAGACGACTAATCACCGAGATGGAGACGACTAAACACCGAGATGGAGACGACTAATCACCGAGATGGAGACGACTAAACACCGAGCTGGAGACGACTAATCACCGAGATGGAGACGACTAATCACCGAGATGGAGACGCCTAAACACCGAGATGGAGACGACTAAACACCGAGATGTAGACAACTAAACACCAAGATGTAGACAACTAAACACCGAGATGTAGACAACTAAACACCGAGATGTAGACGACTAAACACCGAGATGTAGACGACTAAACACCAAGATGGAGACGACTAAACACCGAGATGGAGACGACTAAACACCGAGATGGAGACGACTAAACACCGAGATGGAGACGACTAAACACCGTGATGGAGACGACTAAACACCGAGATGGAGACGACTAATCACCGAGATGTAGACGACTAAACACCATGATGGAGACGACTAATCACCGAGATGGAGACGACTAAACACCGAGATGTAGACGACTAAACACCGAGATGGAGACGACTAAACACCGAGATGGAGACGACTAATCACCGAGATGGAGACGACTAAACACAGAGATGTAGACGACTAAACACCGAGATGGAGACGACTAATCACTGAGATGGAGACGACTAAACACCGAGATGGAGACGACTAAACACCGAGATGGAGACGACTAATCACCTAGATGGAGACGACTAATCACCGAGATGGAGACGACTAATCACCGAGATGGAGACGACTAAACACCGAGCTGGAGACGACTAATCACCGAGATGGAGACGACTAATCACCGAGATGGAGACGACTAAACACCGAGATGGAGACGACTAAACACCGAAATGGAGACGACTAATCACCGAGATGGAGACGACTAATCACCGAGATGGAGACGACTAATCACCGAGATGGAGACGACTAATCACCGAGATGGAGACGACTAAACACCGAGATGGAGACGACTAAACACCGAGATGGAGACGACTAAACACCGAGATGGAGACGACTAATCACCGAGATGGAGACGACTAATCACCGAGATGGAGACGACTAATCACCGAGATGGAGACGACTAAACACCGAGATGTAGACGACTAAACACCGAGATGTAGACAACTAAACACCGAGATGTAGACGACTAAACACCGAGATGGAGACGACTAAAGACCGAGATGGAGACGACTAAACACCGAAATGGAGACGACTAAACACCGAGATGGAGACGACTAAACACCGAGATGGAGACGACTAATCACCGAGATGGAGACGACTAAACACCAAGATGTAGACGACTAAACACCAAGATGGAGACGACTAAACACCGAGATGGAGACGACTAATCACCAAGATGTAGACGACTAAACACCAAGATGGAGACGACTAATCACCAGGATTTATAGCCTCTTTGAGACACTCACAGGTGTCCCCACCCTTACTGCTCAATGTGTCTGAGCAGAGAGGGGGGGGGGGGGGGGGTCCTAACAGTCACCATCTTAGTTTTTTGGATAAAGAGGTTAAAGAAATGGTCACTTTCTGCATTATTCACAAGAGAAGACTTCAGATCAGATGCTAGTAGAATAACGAAGCCCTTTCCTGCAGAGGTGGCTTCTTTCAGAAATTGAGAAAATTGATGCACATTTTTGCAAAAAGAAAGAAAACCCTGATGGAGACATCAACACAAAGATCAGACTGAGACACACACACACACACACACACACAGTCAGAAGTTGGAGCTCCAACAAACAGAGTCTTTCTTCGGCGCAGATTAACGGCCGCAGGATTAAAACCGGACACCCAAGAAGAGGGGTCCCCGTTACCATGGAAACCAGCTGAGGGGTTCACACACACATATATATATATACACACACATATACACAGGTGTAATATAAACATGAATCAATCATTAAAATAATAAAAATCTGTCCAAGAATTGTTTTTATATATAACATTTAATAAAAACTTTTCAAACAGTGAATTTAAATTTTAAAGAATAAAAAGACAGTTTTCTTTCCTGGTTCATGTTTTTTTCTAAATTAAATCTGCTTTAATGGATGAGCTTTTCAAAATAAAGTTCAGGCTGTTTTTTCTGTCGGGGCATAGTGCACACCTGAAGGTAGGTGTGTGTGTGTGTGTGTGTGTGTGTGTGTGTGTGTGTGTGTGTGTGTGTGTGTGTGTGTGTGTGTGTGTGTGTGTGTGTGTGTGTGTGGTGTGTGTGTGTGTGTGTGTGTGCGTGTGTGTGTGTGCGTGTGTGTGTGTGTGTGTGTGTGTGTGTGTGTGTGTGTGTGTGTGTGTGTGTGTGTGTCTGTCTCTGTCAGCCAGGCAGGGCCGTCCCTCCCTACAGGAAGATCACACAGACCCACAGGGGAATTCTGGGTAACGTAGTCCTGATGCCAACCTGTAGTTTATCTGAAGGACAAACTTAAAGCCGTGAACCTGAGCTGGAGGAGTTTTATATTTCCTGCAGAGTTTGAGTTTTTTGTTGAAAGTTGTCAAAGTTTAATTTGAAGTGTTTTGGGAACACGGCTTCCTCTCTTTTGTCAGAGCGATCTGCACAAATTCATTTCTGTTGAAAACTAAAGAGAGGAACCTTAAACACACAGGGAGACAAAGAGACGACTTTATTCAGGTCAGCGCTCGGAACAGGAAGCGGCGCTGCACAATCCAACAGGAAATAAAAAAGGTCTGTTCTAATCAACATAATTATAAAAACTTTATTTCATAACAACGACAAATCAAGATTTAATCACAAACTTTTAAAAAATGCAGGTTGTTTTCACTTTAATTTTCAAATCAGATCACATGATTACACAGAAACACACAGTCACCTTTAAGACGTTTCAAATCAACTGAAATAATAATCAGTGACAACAAAAGGAAAGAGAGATGAAGCACTTCCTGGTTCAGAGGTCACATCACAGCTCGGACACTTCCTGTCCCGACCTTCTTCCTCAAAACCTCCACCAGACGCTCCAACCTGCAGGGGGAAAACTGTGATGTCACCATGACCCTGAACGCATCACACACCTTTAGTAATAACTTCCTGTATGCACCTGCAGCTTCCTGTATGTACCTGTAGCTTCCTGTATGTACCTGCAGGTTCCTGTATGTACCTGTAGCTTCCTGTATGTACCTGTAGCTTCCTGTATGTACCTGTAGGTTCCTGTATGTACCTGTAGCTTCCTGTATGTACCTGTAGCTTCCTGTATGTACCTGTAGCTTCCTGTATGTACCTGCAGGTTCCTGTATGTACCTGTAGCTTCCTGTATGTACCTGTAGCTTCCTGTATGCACCTGTAGCTTCCTGTATGTACCTGTAGGTTCCTGTATGTACCTGTAGCTTCCTGTATGTACCTGTAGCTTCCTGTATGTACCTGCAGGTTCCTGTATGTACCTGTAGCTTCCTGTATGTACCTGTAGCTTCCTGTATGCACCTGTAGCTTCCTGTATGTACCTGTAGCTTCCTGTATGCACCTGCAGCTTCCTGTATGTACCCGTAGCTTCCTGTATGCACCTGCAGCTTCCTGTATGTACCTGTAGCTTCCTGTATGTACCCGTAGCTTCCTGTATGTACCCGCAGCTTCCTGTATGTACCCGCAGCTTCCTGTATGTACCCGCAGTTTCCTGTATGTACCCGTAGCTTCCTGTATGTACCCGCAGCTTCCTGTATGTACCCGCAGCTTCCTGTATGTACCCGTAGCTTCCTGTATGTACCCGCAGCTTCCTGTATGTACCCGTAGCTTCCTGTATGTACCCGCAGCTTCCTGTATGTACCCGCAGCTTCCTGTATGCACCTGTAGCTTCCTGTATGTACCTGTAGGTTCCTGTATGTACCCGTAGCTTCCTGTATGTACCTGCAGCTTCCTGTATAAACCTGTAGCTTCCTGTATGTACCTGCAGCTTCCTGTATGCACCTGCAGCTTCCTGTATGTACCTGTAGCTTCCTGCTTCAGAGTGTACTTCCTGTTTGTTTAGACTTCAGAGTGTACTTCCTGTTTGTTTAGACTTCAGAGTGTACTTCCTGTTTATTTAGACTTCAGAGTGTACTTCCTGTTTGTTTAGACTTCAGAGTGTACTTCCTGTTTGTTTAGACTTCAGAGTGTACTTCCTGTTTGTTTAGACTTCAGAGTGTACTTCCTGTTTGTTCAGACTTCAGAGTGTACTTCCTGTTTGTTTAGACTTCAGAGTGTACTTCCTGTTTGTTTAGACTTCAGAGTGTACTTCCTGTTTGTTTAGACTTCAGAGTGTACTTCCTGTTTGTTTAGACTTCAGAGTGTACTTCCTGTTTGTTTAGACTTCAGAGTGTACTTCCTGTTTGTTTAGACTTCAGAGTGTACTTCCTGTTTGTTTAGACTTCAGAGTGTACTTCCTGTTTGTTTAGACTTCAGAGTGTACTTCCTGTTTGTTCAGACTTCAGAGTGTACTTCCTGTTTGTTTAGACTTCAGAGTGTACTTCCTGTTTGTTTGGACTTTAGAGTGTACTTCCTGTTTGTTCAGACTTCAGAGTGTACTTCCTGTTTGTTTGGACTTTAGAGTGTACTTCCTGTTGCTGTGAGAGTTTATGAACTTCCTGAGGAAATGAGGAGGAAGTGACCCTGACGACTTTCCCTCCAAACCAAATTAAAGTGTCAGTAATGAGAGCAGATTTCTCTCAGAGCAAATATTCTCCTCAGGCCCTTCAGAGCCGCCCCCCCGCCGGCAGCGGAATTAAAGCGCGGGTTTCAGTCCGGAGACGCAGACGGACGTTAATCTGTTTCCTGATGAGCTCATCCTCACTGAGAGCAGAGAAGAAGAAGAGCCGCCGTCATCCCGGGATTAATATCACTGTGCACTCCGAATATCAATCAGGAGCTCCAAAGCTCTTTAGTCCCACACGCTTAACCAGTCTTTGAACACATCTCTGCTGACGGCTGCTTTACATACAGACGTGCTCTGAAACAGGAAGTGCCCCCCTCTGGGGGCAGCAAACAGGAAGTGCCCCCTTCTGAGGGCTGCAAACAGGAAGTGCCCCCTCTGAGGGCAGCAAACAGGAAGTGCCCCCCTCTGAGGCCAGCAAACAGGAAGTGCCCCCCTCTGGGGGCAGCAAACAGGAAGTGCCCCCTTCTGA